TGGATTTTGAGGAGTCCATGAGTAGTCACTCTTCAAGAGAATGTAGAAACTCTCATACCAGGCTTGCTTTAGTATCCTACTGTTCAGTCATTGGTTGGGAAATGCTTGTAGGATGTATGGCCTTGGCTCAAATGCTAGATTTTAGAGCACAACAGTTGGGACTCTCAGTTAATTAATTAAGTTCCTTCAGTCAGACTTAGGAGGCGTATTTCATGGTTACCATGTGTGTTGTTTATGAGTGCTATTGGGTTGGTTCCAACTCATAGTGACCCTGTGAAAGATTTCCAAGGAGCCGTTGGTGGATTTGAAGATATTATACATATACAAAAATGGAAAAACTGTAGATGACTTTAAGAATATTTTATTATTGAAGGAGGTCTGGTTTTACAAGATGTTTCCCCTCTTCTCTAATTAAGGCCTAAGTTTTGTTCAACCGCAAAATTGAATCACTAAGGAATGGTTTGCAGGATTTAAGTCAAAATGAAAATAACTTAACCATCCCAAAATCAGTAAAGATATAGGATTTGCTTCTTTCTCTTGGGAGTTAACTGACTAATCCATTCTAATAAAACCAGGAATTAGCTTTTTATTTGCATATCTCAAAAGCCTATATGTAAGCATGTCCAAGACCAAACTCATGATCTTCTCCTTTTAATCTAGTTGTTTCATTTGTTTATAGTAAATTGCAGCACTAACCACACATTTAAGCAACTCAAATATCTCTCTTTCCATGGGGGAAAATTCTTCTCTATATTTGCTCTTAAAAGTATCTTGAATCCACTCACTTATCTTCATTTCCTTTTTTGCAGTCCTAGTCTAAGCAGCCATCATTTATTATATGGAGTAGTTACAGTCATCATGCCATCCTTCCCACTTATGTAGTTTCAATGAGCTTTTTAAAACAGACACTTGATCTGTCAACCCTTGTTTAAAATTATTAAATACTTATTTCTTTCTCCTGTGATAAAAACCAGTTTGTAACACAGTGCAGAAAGTCATGCAAATTCATACTCAGTGTGGTACTGGTAGATGTCTAACAAATAATTCTCAAAAATCAAGCCCTGACTATAAGATTTCCACCATGATTGGTTTTAAGTTAGCATTAAGAATCATTCATTATGGCCTTGAAAAGAAATGTTCAGTACTGTTTCACTATGAAGTGTCTCCACCATATGTATACAATGTTGTTGGTAAGTACCAATGAGTCAGTTCCGACTCATAGTGACCCTGTATAGGGTTTGAGAGGCTTTAATCTTTTTGGGAGCAGAAAGCCTCATCTTTCTTCCACTATGTATATGTTGTTGTTGTCAGGTGCCATTGAGTTGGAACTGACTCATAGAGACCCCATGCACAGCAGAACGAAACAATGTCCGATCCTGGGCCAACCTCACTACCGCTGCCACACTTGACGACATCAATGATGCCACCTGGCTGATCCATCTCGTTATGGGTCTTCCTCTTTTTCTCTGACCCTCCATCTTACCCAGCATGACATCCTCTCCAGCGAC